AATTGTTCACTAATGACTCTAACAAGTATACAATTTCTTTTGAGGCCTTCACAACCAAAAAAAGCTGATTAAATAAAAATTCATATTGTAAGTTGAATTGTACTCTAGATCCTTGGTAAGAAGTTTAATTTAGTTTATGAATGATTCTTATATTTCCCTGCATGACATTATGTGACATACTTCAGCACTCTTCAATTATGACAGAACTTTCAAACTGCCTGTCCCTTTAGCATTGTAGTCATTAAAATAAAACCTTCTTACTTTTAAAATCAGTGCTGCAAGTGGAATAAAGGTCTAAGTTTATTTTATTCAGATATTAGTTATATTAGTTAACATTAATGTCATACAATGTACATCTCTTCTTACTTTTAAAATCAGTGCAGCATGTGGACTAAAGATCTAAATTTATTCCGATTTACATTACTTAACATTATAGCCTACAATGTACATCCCTTCTTATTTAACAAAAAGCTTAAACAGAGTAAATTAATGCGGAATGACCAATGCTGGCCTTCTATAATTAGATGAATTACCTGCACACCTGCCAACACCAAATGGTCCTATGCTGGCCTTCTATAATTAGATGAATTAGCTGCACACCTGACAACACCAAATGGTCCAATCCTGGCCTTCTATAATTAGATGAATTACCTGCACACCTGACAACACCAAATGGTCCAATCCTGGCCTTCTATAATTAGATGAATTACCTGCACACCTGACAACACCAAATGGTCCTATCCTGGCATTCTATAATTAGATGAATTACCTGCACACCTGACAACACCAAATGGTCCAATCCTGGCCTTCTATAATTAGATGAATTACCTGCACACCTGACAACACCAAAAATGTCTTGAGTTGGATTCTGACATGACTGGACCATGTAACGTTTCCCATCCCCACAATAAGGCTGTGACCCCAGCCCCAGAGACCTGGTCTCGTTTGAGCCTCTTTGTCTGCTGCTGTATCTTGATGACACCTATAAATAGATTGAGGATCCCTGTGTCAAAAATATTTTGTTTTCTTGTTGGAAAGCAGATAAAACAGAATATAATAATTCTTTGCCAAGACAAAGGTCTGCCCATTCTTGCATTGTAACCATCGTATTTGTACCATAAACTGTAATATCGTCACAGCCAATTAGATCTATGAAATCTCCTCACTCACCATGTCCAGGGCATCAATGATACAATCTGACCACCCTCACTAACCATGTCCAGGGCATCAATGATACAATCTGACCACCCTCACTAACCATGTCCAGGGCATCAATGATACAATCTGACCACCCTCACTCACCATGTCCAGGGCATCAATGATACAATCTGACCACCCTCCCACCATCAGTGGCAGTTGGTCATTGCAGACACAGTCCTCATGTTGGTCACGTGGGTACTTCTCCGTGTCACGGCAATCTTTCTCGTTCTTGCTTTCACCTTAAAGGAGAGACACAAAAGAATTTACTGTAAAACATTTTGAGTTACACCAGAAAATAAACAGACGAAAGAAAACTGAGAGCTAAACACATTGATTACTACAGTTTAATTCAATCTGTAAAACCCAAATAAAATAAAAGTATATTTTGTAAAAAATCCAAAGCACAAATAGATGACTATGGTAATTATTTCTTGTAAACAGATGGAAACAATGGCTATTTTGTCACTACAGGGACAGTGAAAGAGATGCAAGGTTTCAAGGAGTGCAAGTGATGGAATGGGTGCAAGGGTTACAATGGGTGGAAGGGTTGAAAAGGATGGCAGGGGTGGAATAATTGCAGGGGGTTTCAAGGGGTGGAAAGGTGGCAAGAATTGCAAGGGTTGGAAGGGTTTATTTGGGGTGGGATGTTTGTAAGAAGTGAAGAAGTGGCAGGGGTGGAAGGGTGGCAAGAGTTGTAAGGGGTGGAAGGTTTGCAAGGGGTGGAAGGTTTGCAAGGGGTGGCAAGAGTTGCAAGGTGTGGAAGGGTGGCAAGAGTTGCAAGGTGTGGAAGGGTGGCAAGAGTTGCAAGGTTAGCAAGGGTTGGAAGGGTTGCTTTGGGGTGGAAGGGTTGCTTTGGGGTGGAAGGGTTGCTTTGGGGTGGAAGGGTTGCTTTGGGGTGGAAGGGTTGCTTTGGGGTGGAAGGGTGGCAAGGGCTACAATTATCCAAAGGTTTCAAGTGGTGCAAGATTTTGAATAGTGCAAGTGTGTCAAGAAGTGAATATTTTAATCCCCATGACATAATTTGTTCATCAGAATATTGGTTTCGTTCAGCTAAGGGAAAAGTCTGTAACTATTTCTTTGACAGCTAAGGTTGAACTGACCTAGAAGATTTCTAAATCTGAACCTTGTCTTCTCACATCTGGGTCCGCATTGCGTCCATTGTGACCAGGGCGACAGCTGACACTCAGACTGGCAGGGTGAGTAGCACGTCTCTGTCACGGCCGGCATGGTGCCCAGATGACTCAGGCACACACTGACGGGCACTAGCTTTGTGTCTTGGTTGTTGTGCTGCTTACAAGTCATGTCTGAGACATCAGACAAAAATATCTTTACAAAATTAGCAAGTAAATTTGGATTTATTAATCTTTAGTCCCACTGATGATGAACTAGCAAGATAGGACTTGAAATAAGTCGCTGCCAAGGGATAGGTTTTTTTAAACTATAGGACATTAACAAAAGGTCTACTTATTTTTCTGGACTAAACAAAGTGACCAAAATTTTATGGTCCCAACAACATTGTATTTGAATATTAAAACTGTTGAACCTTGCCATAATTTGGCCATGGAACCTATTAGAGCATAACGAGACCTACTCACTCCTGGCACGTAGCCCCTGTCCACACTTGGGGTATTCAGGAGGAAGAACACACTCGCTCCAGTCAGACGTGTCCCAGAAGAACGTGTGACACACGGGAAGATTCAAGCAGGACTGCTCCTCATCCAAGTCAGTGGGGCACGACACGCCCCCATATTGAGGGTACTGAAGGACGAAGCGTTTCCTGAGTTGTGTTGGGTAGATTTGTCTCGCTGAGGGGAAATATTCTCATTTTTTTACAAACACAAACACTTACACAAAAGTTTCTATAGTTTTAATTTGTAAAATTATCTTTAAGACCATGATTGGTTATCTTTTCTAAGACTAACACAACATGTGTCTCTCTCTCCAATGTCTTTATCACCTACATCAAGACATTGAACTAACCTTGTTGAGGTAAGCAGGTAACCCCACATGCTGACCACTCTGACCACTCGGTGAGATGACAGTCGACTGGACACTCCAACAAGCATGACTGGGCATTCTTGGGTCGAATCTTTTCAATACATCTAATCAGTGAAGTTAAAGGTAAAAATTTCACTTTTTAATATCAAAACTGGTGAATAACTTGCAATTGTCTTTATAGAATCCTTATCATCAAGCAGTTCCACACACAATCCCATACACAGGAGTGAGCGAGGTGACGTCACCAATTCCATTCAAGCAAGAACAATAAAGTGGATATGGATATTTCATACGGTTAAAAAACTAATCTAACTAAAATATAACTAGGCAAGCACTGGTATGGATGGAACCCTTAAAGATCAACAGGACAGAAACGACCCTAAAACATCTGGCATGGAGAGTCAGGCAATGATCCACTTAACATTGTACATAAGTGAAAAGAGTTAGAGAAGATTGCAAGAGAACATAAGCTTTGGAAAGAAAAAATAAAACTAAAGCATCTGCTCCACCAGAAGTTGCTCGGAAAGAAAAGATATCGCTAAAGCATCTGCTCCACCAGAAGTTGCTCGGAAAGAAAAGATATCGCTAAAGCATCTGCTCCACCGGAAGTTGCTCGGAAAGAAAAGATATAGCTAAAGCATATGCTCCACCGGAATTTTCTCGGAAAGAAAAGATATAGCTAAAGCATCTGCTCCACGGAAGTTGTTCGGAAAGAAAAGATATAGCTAAAGCATCTGCTCCACCGGAATTTGCTCGGAAAGAAAAGATATGCCAAAGCATCTGCTCCACCGGAATCTGCTCGGAAAGAAAAGATATAGCTCAAGCATGTCTAAACTGGTTCAAAGTTTTGATTAGATGCAGTACAGCAATAGTTGATTGATTAGATGCAGTACAGCAATGGTTGATTGATTAGTGTGGCAGTTCACTCTTAATACAATGAAAATATTAGGCTATTTATTTCCTAACAGACTGAATATATTTTACTACTTATTTCCTAATACACTAAATATATTTTACTATTTATTTCCAAACATTTCCTAATTCATTAAGATATTGTGCTATTTATATCCTAGCAGAATGAATAAATCATTAAGCAATTCTATTCTCCCGAACACTATCAATGTAATCTGACAGAAAAGATAAACTAGAGAGAAGGGAAAGTTTGGAAACTATTTCATAGAATTAAGATAAATGACTGCCCATTAAATAAGAGATGACATACAAAAGACTGACCCACCGTCCCACCACCATTGACACCATCCATAACCTACTTGTCATCCGACACCCTCATTCCAGTTGATGTGTAGCACTCCACCTTGCGGCTCTGGGTGCCCAGCCCACATTGCACGTGGGGGTTATCCATATTCAGCTTGCAGGCCCCCCATGCTGTGGCCTCCCATTGGTAGGTGGTGCAGTCATAGAGAACCTGGCAGTGTTCACTTTGTCGTAAGGCACTTTGGTTAGGGCATGCACGGGTCGAGCGCCCTAAAAAATGACATTGATATGAGAATATGTGTCAGGTGTGTCACATGTAGGTCAAACAACAAATAAGAACTGCACACATAATTTTGTTCAATATCGAACTGGGCTGGTCAATAATTATACTGTAAGAACTAATGATAGAATGATAATGAAATTTATTTATAGGAACAGTTAGAGGTTTGTTGATTAAGTTTTGAAGTTACATGACAGTCCTCACCTTGTCCATGATAGGCTAAAACCTGCCTTGTCCTAGACCTTGTAACTCTAAAACCAGTCTGGGCCGTGCATGGGTTGGGGCACGGGGACCATGAGCCCCACTCCGACAAGACACAATCCTCAGGACAAGGCACATAGCAGTTTGTCCACGTTTGCTCTGAATGTAAATTCTCATGGCAGAAACGATCACGAACTTTGACCTGTAGGTAATGGTAAAATTTGACCTGTAGGTAATAGTAAACTTTGACCTGTAGGTAATGATAAACTTTGACCTGTAGGTAATGGTAAACTTTGACCTGTAGGTAATAGTTGAGACATTTCAACATGAACTGTCTCCTTACAGTCTCTCCATTCCAAACCACAGTGGCATATCTAGGATAAGTGCAACACAGGGCAGATCACCCCTCTGCACGCCCCTTCAGAGGCGTAGCTAAAGGGGGCAGGAGGTAGGGGGGACAGATGTCAATGGGCGCCAGACTAATTAGGGGCACCAAAATGTGCTTTAATGTTATTTTCATCAGTAAAAAGAAATTGACAAAAGAAAGGGAGGCCTTTATAATAAATCTTGACCATGGAAGCCAAACATTCTAGCTACACCACTTCCCCCATTTCCTACACCACTGCCCCCATTTCCTACACCACTTGCCCCCATTTCCTACACCACTGACCCCATTTCCTACATCACCGCCCCCATTTCCTACACCACTACCCCCATTTCCTACACCACTACCCCCATTTCCTACACCACTACCCCCATTTCCTACACAACTGCCCCCATTTAACCCCATTTCCTACATCACCGCCCCCATTTCCTACACCACTACCCCCATTTCCTACACCACTACCCCCATTTCCTACACCACTACCCCATTTCCTACACAACTGCCCCCATTTCCTACACCACTGCCCCCATTTCCTACCCCACTGCCCCCATTTCCTACACCACTGCCCCCATTTCCTACACCACTGCCCCCATTTCCTACGCTACCGCCCACATTTCCTACATCACTGCCCCCATTTCCTACAGCACTGCCCCCATTTCCTACATCACTGCTCCCATACTGCCCCCATTTCCTACATTACTGCCACTTCAACCTCTTTATTCTAGTTTAACAGGTTACTTTAAATCCTTACTTTTGCCAAGAAAGGGCTTAACATAAACTATGTCAATATTACAATGAGACAAGAAAGGGCTTAACATAAACTATGTCAATATTACAATGAGAACCACATGCTCCTGGTGCACCATTAGAAGTGTTCTAAGTTGAGATATTAATTAACAATAAAACTTATAAAAGACTGCAATCAGCTGCAGTGGCAAATGGCCTGAGGTCATCCATAAACACTCACCCCAGCTCTGTTTAAGCAAATGGCCTTCTTGAGCTGCGTGCCCTCTCCACACCCTCCACGTGTGGTTGGCTCACACACACCGAGTGTGATGTTCCACGTGAAACAAGGCTCGGGCTGACACATACGAATTTCACTGAGGTGTGGGCAAATGTTCCCCGCTGGGCCCGGTAAGGTCAGAATTTCTCGGGTCCTAAACTTTTTACCTATTCACCAGAAAAAGAATTGTTATTAAATTATAACTGTGCTGTAAGTAATAAATCATTAAATAACTGTGCTGTAAGTAATAAATCATTAAATAACTGTGCTGTAAGTAATAAATCATTAAATAACTGTGCTGTAAGTAATAAATCATTAAATAACTGTGCTGTAAGTAATAAATCATTAAATAACTGTGCTGTAAGTAATAAATCATTAAATAACTGTGCTGTAAGTAATAAATCATTAAATAACTGTGCTGTAAGTAATAAATCATTAAATAACTGTGCTGTAAGTAATAAATCATTAAATAACTGTGCTGTAAGTAATAAATCATTAAATAACTGTGCTGTAAGTAATAAATCATTAAAACTGATAACTTAAAATAATGTGGAACAAATGCATCTCTTAAAAACTTTGACTCTGTAACAGAAATGACTGACTGTTCTCTGTAACAGAAATGACTGACTGTTTCTGTGACAGAAATGACTGACTATTGTCTGTGACAGAAATGACTGATTGTTTCTGTGACATAAATGACTGACTGTTCTCTGTGACAGAAATGACTGACTGTTTCTGTGACAGAAATGACTGACTGTTCTCTGTGACAGAAATGACTGACTGTTCTCTGTGACAGAAATGATTGACTGTTCTCTGTGACAGAAATGACTGACTGTTTCTGTGAGAGAAATGACTGACTGTTCTCTGCGACAGAAATGACTGACTGTTCTCTTTGACAGAAATGACTGACTGTTCTCTGCGACAGAAATGACTGACTGTTCTCTGTGACAGAAATGACTGACCATTAACTTTAATTTTTATATTTAAGAGAAAGAAAGATCTTGACACAGTCAAGAATAATCCAATCCAAACATACAATTCCAACACCCTATTATTTTTGCAAACAGACTATGAAGAGCATTTCTTCAAAAACAAAAGTATATCGACGACGCAGCCTAGAATAAAAGGAGTTCATTTGCTAATGCAACAGTGGGATCAACCATCTTTGAATATCAGTGTTTGTAACAGACACCATTGTAGCTTGAACATTGAAACAAAAATATGGAACATACAATCACACAACTGAGTTACATTAGAATATTGAACATCAGGTATATGGAGTAAGGTAAGTCAAGTAAGGTAAGCTGAATAAGGTATATCAAGTAAGGTAAGTCCAGTAAGGTAAGTTTAATAAGGTTTATGGTGTAAGGTAAGTCCAGTAAGGTAATTCCAGTAAGGTAAGTAAAGTAAGTTTAATAAGGTATATTTATTTAGGCATTTTTATATAGCGCTTATCATAAAGCTCTAAGCGCTTTACAATTATTAAAACATGTAAACTAAGTAAATACAAATGAGACACTAGGATAGTAACTGCTATACTATAGAAACAATGAAAATGGCTATAAAACGAGGACACTTTGACACTTCAGGATCAACCCGAAACAGAAAATGAGGTAGGGCAAGGAGGGTGCATCACAGGTCATAGGCGGACCTAAACAGATGAGTTTTAAGGGACTTTTTGAAAATGGACGAGATTCCACTATGACGTATATGGAAGGGGAGCTGGTTCCAGAACGTGGGCCCATGGAAGCAGAAGGAGCGTTCACCGATGGTCTTAGTTTTAGTTCTTGGGATATCAAGCAAGGTAAGTCTAGTAAGGTAAGTTTAATAAGGCAAGTCCAGTAAGGTAAGTCCTGAAGGTAAATCCAGGAATGTAAGTTTAATAAGGTATATCAAGTAAGGTAAGTCCTTAAAAGTAGTCCAGTAAGGTAAATCCTTAAGGTAGGTATAGTAAGGTAAGTTTAATAAGGTATATCAAGTAAGGTAAGTTGTAAGGTAAGTTGTAAGGTAAGTTGAGTAAGTTAAGTCCATTTAAGTAAGTGACAGTAAGGTAAGCCGGTAAGGTACACACCAAGTAGGACTTCTGTTCTCTTTCTCCTGACATTTGTCATCTCACAGTCCCCATCTTGGCATACACTCCAGGCACTCCACTGTGACACACTACAGTCCCAGTTACACTCCATGGTACAAGACTGGGACACAGTGGGTCTGATGTGAGGGCACCGGGTCTCATCCACTGGTCGCTCAACCCCATCATCTAAAAAATTAATTTAATCCCAGTAAGTAATAAAACAAAAATATGTACAATTAATTTATTTTAAATAAAGCCATCCTAAATTCATCCTAAAGTCACCCTAAAGTCATTCTAATTTCTACATTTTGTTTTTCTTACACATTTATAAATATGGTACCATTTTAATGTCAATGTTATTTGGTGTCAACTGTGACTGCAGTCACTGAAGCAGTCACTGAGCTATATACAAAATGGGCCAAATAAGTTTCTTCAGCAAGTCATATAAGTGTCTACTGCTGGTCATTTAATTGTCTTCAGCTGGTCATATAAGTGTCTTCTGCTAGGCATGTCTTCAGCTAGTCATATAAGTGTCATCTGCTGGTCATGTCTTCAGCTGATCATATAAGTGTCATCTGCTGGTCATGTCTTCAGCTGGTCATATAAGTGTCTTCTGCTGGTCATGTCTTCAGCTGGTCATATAAGTGTCTTCTACTGGTCATGTCTTCAGCTGGTCATATAAGTGTCTTCTGCTGCTCATGTCTTTAGCTGGTCATATAACCAGTGCTCCACAACCATTCTTCCCTAACGGCACACCAAGGCCTTTTCCAGATTTCCACAGACCACCACAATAATTAATTATTAAAACATAAAGAAGAAAAACTTCTTCTATGTTGTTGACTTCATGGGCCATGCGAATGGCATTGGGGCGAGGAGTGCACTCTCCCAAGCACTAACACAAGGGGGTGCCAATATTGTCTTTAGATAAGACCTTGATATTGAATTAAAAGATAAAATCTCATGTGCTTTACAAGGGCTCCCCACAATCGTCTAGTGCGCTCCTTTTTTCGGAACGGCCAAATTTACCAACTTTTTATGTCATTAAACAATTTCCTGTAGATGTGACATCAACACGCGCTGGTAGATTGTTTCTCTATACTGATTTAGCACAAGAAAACATTTCCATGCAAATACAAAATTAAATATGATTTAATACCAATGCTAGCAACCACCCCTAATTTACTTATGACATTCCACCCCAGCACCCCACCCCCCAAAACCTGGATCAATACAATCAAACTGTTTCAACAAATCATATGAATGATTTTCTTTAATTGTTTAACAGAAAGCAAAATCAATGCGTAGTGAACGAACGTATGACATGGTACAGACTATTGAAGACCAAAGTGACGCACATCTAATACTGGTTGCTTCAGACACATTGAGACGGTGACTTGCCCAGTGCCTCGCCAATTTTAAACCTGCAGACCCGCTGTGCCATTTGTCGAAATGTTTGACAGCTTGCTATTTATCCAATCATCGTCTATTTTGTTTCAATACATTAATATCGTCTTCTCAGGTTTTTCATCTCCTTGATTGAGTTTTGCCCCTGCACAATAAGCATCATCTTTTGGTCTGCTTCGGCCAAACATCATTTTCCAGCACACCAAGCGCCATAAATGTAATTAACTTGGAATATTACATAAACATGCGATTAAGTTGGGAATTAACATACATTTATTTGAGTTAGGATATTACATATAAATATAATTAATTTCGGATATTACATATAAATGTAATTAATTTGGAATAGTACAGATACATGAAATTAAGTTGGAAATTACATAAACATGTAATTAAGTTGGGATTCAGTTAGACTACGGTATTCAATTAACTAAATTTAATGTTGTTAAATGAGAAACCATCTTCTTTCCACTCCATTTCTCCCTCTTAGTTCGCAATCATTGATGCCAGGAATTTCTCTGGTATTTATAACCATTAAAAAGGTTATAGTGCAAACATATTTTTTCCATTATTTTGTGCTTCTGGCCAGAATTTTTTGTTCCACCTCATTTAAGTGTCAGACCAGGTCTCATGTGAAAGTTGTTTTTCTTTGAGAGCAGCACAGAATTGCTTTACCACTTTCCTTTGTAAGTCCATAAAACTAGACAGAGCTATTTTCCAAGCTTCTAAGCTCAGCTCTGTTTCAAAAGTTATGACCATGTCTTCCCTTCTCAGGCACCTAGCCCTCCAAATATTAGTTAGTGGTGAAAGGGAGGGGGTAGGGGGTCTTAGTTCGCCCATAATCTACAGACGTTTTTAATGAACACATTTAGAAACTACAGCCTGGTCTGCCCAATAATTGATTAAAAATAAGGCCAATCTGCTATAAAAAGAAAAAATTGTTTGTCTTCAAAACAGGAGGTTTTTCTTACATGTTAAGAAGAATTAAGTTAGTGTTAGGAAAGACCATAATGGTAAGTTAGAGCTTAGGAAAGACCAAAATTATAAGTTAGAGTTAAGAATAACCATTAATTGTAAGTTAGAGTTAAGAATGACCATTAATTGTAAGTTAGAGTTAGGAAAGACCATAAGTGTAAGTTAGAGTTAAGAATGACCATTAATTGTAAGTTATATTTAGGAAACACCATTAATTGTAAGTCAGAGTTAGGAAAGACCATAATTTTAAGGTGAAGATGTTTTAGACTTTGTTAAACAAATGAAGATAATTGGATTAAAGACTACAAAATGAAAACCTAAAATCCCCTCCAGCAGTTTTCATCTTATTGCCTCCTCTAAACAATAAAATCTTCATCGTATCTCTTATATTTTGTTGTATTAGACTTGTCTCTTATTTCTTTGTTGTATTAAACTTGTCTCGTATATTTTGTTATGTTAGACTTGTCTCTTATATTTTGTTGTATTAGACATGACTCTTTTATTTTGTTATATTAGACTTGTCTCTTATTTCTTTCATCTGAACGTGGTGTAGAGACCAACCGAAAGTGATTTTCTGATTTCGGCCGAAGCCGAAAATAGGCCGAAAGTTTAAAATGACTTTTGGCCGAAACCGAAAAAAGGCCGAAAGTTTAAAAATGACTTTCGGCCGAAACCGAAAAAAGACCGAAAGTTAAAAATGAATTTCGGCCGAAACCGAAGCCGAAAATGAAATATTAAGATATTTTGAAATTCGTTCCCGCATACATTCTGCTTACATCGAAAATGATGTGGGAAAATATAAATATTTACATTATTTTTTATAAAAATGAGAAAATCGTCAATATTAATAAATAAAAATCTAATTTAGGGTTCTCAAAGTCGCGGCCAGCGAGCCGATATTTTGCGGCCCGCTACATGACAGAAAAGTTTAGTGTAAATGCGCCGGCCCGTTTCCCCCATTCTCATATCTATAACGTGACTCTCGGCGACGGTTTCAGTCGAATCTCACCGACTAGTCTAATTCTGATTTTTTTTTAAATGTCTCTATATATTTTTGTATGCCAGCTCTCTGGCAACAGTGAGTAGGTGGATGAAAGTGAATCCTGGTTCTTGAGAACCCTTAATGATTTTTTTGTTATTTATAAAGGTTGACCAGATTGTAACAGTTGTAATCGCTTTTTTGTGGATTACTTGATGCGGCCCACTCTCATTCAGACACTACCTCCTGTGCCCCCCCCC